TTAACTAAAAGTAATATTATTAAAATTAATTTTATACCCTATGTCACTACAATTAGATAGCTGTCAATAACTACAACCTTGGTGTTAGCCATGCCTGTCAGTCTAATACGGCGACCGTCAAATGTGACCTCAAATATAGGACATGTTTTAAATTCTTTAAATACATGATTGAAACAAAGTTACATTACTTCAAAATGAATGTGTTGTGTAAGCTATCAATTTGTAATATTTATTTATTTATTTACTAATGTGTAGTTATCAAAATATTTTGCCGTGTCATGTTTATTTGGGAGAATGTTTAATTTCACTAGTAAAGTAGTTTCTTAAAAGGATATTAATGATTCCGATTTAACTCAAACTTTCTTGGATAAGTCTTGATAATTTTTTTCTAAATAAATACACGTTCATTGAAACAGTGTTAGGGTTCCTTTAATATAAGGTTTATTCAATATTTATATTAAATTTTGCAAGCGACACACAGATTTGTTTTGTGTAGCTGCATACAATATACGATACTTTACGTAACAGCATCTTGTTTGCATAGTAATAGTTACCAATTAATCACTATTCTATGAAGCATCTCATGCATGAAATGAATACGTGGGATTCAATTCAAATTACTATTGGCAGTTTAGATAAATAAAAAACTGGTCAAACGTGAGTTTATCTCGCATAAAAAGGGTTTCGTACCAGTATAATTATTGTTGACTGAAGTTCACTTTAATAAATACCATAATACATTTCCTCTATGCCTATGTGTTGAATTAGATATATCTAATTCAGGAATATGAACCACGAACTTCGATTACAACCTATGGCCCACTACTAGACATGAGTCTACGAGAATATATGGTTTTCTCTTCCTATTAGAGGAGAAATCTAATTTACTATTGATTAGACAAAATTTCTGAAAATAGAAATGATACAAAAATATTTTGAGAATCTATTATTTCTGAAACTTGTATTGTAGTTGCCACGCTTGGCAGGCGGATTGGCAACCGCAGTTAAGCTTTTAGAGACCTTTCTTCCTTAATCGTCTCTTACGACACCCATGGGAAAACAAGGGGTGGCCCATTCTATGAAAGGGCACACACGGCGATACTATATTTATAAATTTGTTCAATAAAACAAAATTAATACATTTAGGAATTGAGCAATCATTTCTTTCACCTTCAATTCAAACTTTGATAATGGACTAGATTTGAAAAATAGAAATAACAACGCACTTTTTATTTTATTTGACTCGGTCTAGACCCAATTGCCAGGTTGTAAAACAGTTACGACGTAATAGGTAACCATTTATCAAATCTAGTTTATTTTAACTTTCTATTTATCGTTGAACTGTTCATTATTACAATGTACGTGTTTGCAGTAATCGATGTAGTTATTATTATGCAAAAAATAATAGTTGTTACTCGTATTATTTTGAATTTGACGTATCTAACTATAGCTTGTTCTCTTGTTTCATATCTAGGTATAGATATTTTTTAAAAGATATTAAAAATAGGTCATAAATTCAATTGTATGTTTTATCTTAGATTTTTTATTTTTAGTACATTATATGATATCTTCTTGGTTTCGTTGATGTTTTATTATAATGGTATTTATTTTTTCTTTAGATTACTTCTCTACTCGGCGAAATAAAGATGTACCGAGTCTTACATTCACGACAACGACTATAGTTGATGAATACTTGTAATTACTTTACTTTCATTTCATTGTAAACCAAATGATACTAATTTTATTTAAATTAAAGGAATTATCGTAGACAAAAAATGCTATCAACCAACTTTAAAACGAAAGAGGTTCGGTTGTGTTTCTTTATGTTTCTTACCTCATAACTCCTTTTATTATAAACCGATTTAAAAAAAAATATTTCTTATTTGTAAAAATATACTTACGAATTGCTTCCATATAAATTTTATTTAAATTGGTTCAAAAGTTTAGTTTTTAAATCGAACTACAAACAATACCGACCTCAAATGTTTTGCCACATTTGAAGTTTTGTGAAACACAATCTCAATTATACCATGTTAAATAAAAATTTCTAGATGTGATGTCTAGCAATAAGCTCACAAATATAATCAGAAAAAAAAATTTAATACTAAAATAGTTATTTTAACAATCGATAAAAAAGTATTAATAATAAATGTCCTGATTAGGACATTATCAGAACAGATGACGATGAAATGTAAGATACAATAAAGTATGAACAAATTGAAAACCGTCACTTTAAAGCGACAAATATGTAACTAGTTACTTTGTATGGTGAAAATACGTTTCCTATTACGTACCTTCCATGTTTAATACAGGAACAAATCATAAATGTAATACGGTGACCGCAAAGTTACCCTTATATTCCTTGCTTGAAACGAGCAATCAAGCTTTCGTTACTTCGCGGTTTCCTTTAGTAAATTATCTTAATGGAACCATGTCGATAGTGGACAATTTTGAAAAAATTACCGGTTCTATTGCATTTAAATGTATCTTGATATAGACATAATGTATGAATAAGATTTAATCAATTTCAAATCGAATAACTATAAAAAGATTAGGTACCACAAGAATTTTTATATTGAAAGTGTTATATAAAGATTTTAAAAGATTCAAATTTACCCATAGATATTAAAAAAAAAGTGTAAAGATAAAAAAGACTAATAAAATAGATGAGAAATGTGGAAGTTATAATGTAATTAGGTACACATACTCGTATTGAGCTTGTCATGTCTAAAGTGAAAATGTAATAAATAGTAGACTTGAAAATAGTAGATTTTATTCACAAAATGTTGCCTTGAAATTCTCGAATATTGTAGTTGTCATATAATAAAATGAAATCGAAATAAGTAGCATAATTTTAACGAAATGTTTTATCAGTGAAACTGAATTTTACAAAAAAAAAAATAAGTCGAAGCAACGACAAAAAACTAACTTAATTGCTTTACAATTTTATATTATATTTAATTTATTAGATGATATGTCATATATAGTATTAATCTATATTTGTGAGTTAATAATATTATGTAATCGAGATATGTCATTAGATGCCGTAATATCTCAAAGTCAAGTGGTATTAATCAATTATATAGCCATGACAGTAAGATATAACACACTGGCGACGAGGATAGGAAGACTCAAATATGAAAAGGTATCATAAATTTTCCTTACTTCTATATTTTAGTCTATTTCTACCATACTTTAAGTAATATAAGTATAAAAACCAAATGATAAGCAAATAACATAATTAATATCGTTTTTTACCTATATACATATTTTGTTTTAAACATTCCAAAAAAAATTTTACGTGAACGAGGGCGATGACAAACTGGAGTCTCTAGAACTTCTTTGACTAAGTTTTTGCAACCTAAAAAAACAAATTGACCAGTCAGAATGATCACGTACTATCTTTTGTTGATAGAGCAACCCGACGAGGAAATATTTGTAATTAGGTGTTGCGAAAAATATAAATAATGGTACATTTATAAGTAAATGTGTTTTAATAAATTAAAAAGCAAATATATTTGATAATCCGCAAATGAACAAATTAATTTATTATACCAACAATTTTTCTGAATTTTTATTTGTACAAGTAAATTATAACAATATGTATGTAAATAGAGAAATTATGTTTCGATTATACATTGATCCCCATTTAGTCAAACGTTCCTTACATTCTATTCTAAAAATATAAGTTAACACCAAATTTGCTATAAAGGCAGCAAGTAAAACCTTTGAAAATGTTTGTCCTTATTTTACATGTATTAATATTTGATTAACATTTAAAAAAAAATATAACATTAACCAACAAGTGTTACTTTTTACGTACTTTGAGTTATCCCTATCTAAATACTTGCAAAGCTGTTAAAGACGAGTAGATAATCCGATTTAGATTCACTGTAAATATTACGTAAAATTACCAGTGACCAACCTAACCAGCCATCAGCTATTTATTACAGGTGCCCGTTATTGTAAGAAATAATGTCGCAAATCGAAGTAACAAAAGGAAAAAGCACTCTCGCAACTACGTTATACAATTAGGTTGAAGAAATATCTATAGCTATGTCACGTTTTTATTTCTATCCATCAACTTTCTATGCCTACGCAGAAGTCTATAAAATAAGTAATTGAAAGTAGCATTTTAAATACTGAAGACCTGTGCCTCGATTCTTATAAAATAAATTGTTTAAATGTAGAATTGTTTCCTTTCGTTCAATAGAAATTCCACTCGAAGTCCCGTATTAATCGTAAACTTAATGTAATTGGCAGTAAGTTACTGATTTGCCTAACGAGAAACTAAAGAGTCCAGTTTATGTTAAACTGTACTATAATGCTTAGAAATACATTGAATCGGCATCATTCAAGGATGAGAATATAAATGGTTAATGGTTATGGAAATGAAACCTCATGTTCTTTTTATCGCTGCATTATGTTTATGCTTTTTCGATTTCATTAAGTTTGATAAAGTTAATTCGGTAATAGATATGATTTTTTTTGTTAAAGCAGTAGACCCTCAATTATCAATAAGTTAGTATTATTTTTAGTAACAAATTATTGCTGATAATAAAAAAAGATAAAGTCTGTTATTAATAACTAGCAGCTCGTCCCGGCTTCGCACGGGTGGACATTTTTACATTTTAAACAGTGGCCATTAAGACTGCACACGCGACGGAAGCTTAAAAATGGAGTAACTTCTCGCGTTTTCCCAACATTTCCCTTCACTGCTCTGCTCCTATTGATCGTAGCGTGATGAAAAGTATACTATAACCTGCCCAGGAGTATGAAGAATAATTGTACCAAGTTTCGTTACAATCCGTCGAATAGTTTTTGTTTCTATAGCGAACATACAGACAGACAGACAAAAATCGATCACTAATCACTCCCTGATAGTTATTTTGGAAATTTATTTTATGTACAGAATTATCCTCTCTACAGATTTTTTATAAGTATAGATAATGTTATATATGATGAAAATTAAAGAAAGATAAAAAAATTATACAAACTAATCATTTATAAACAATTTTATTTTCCTTTTTTTTTTTTATACAAAAATATATCAACTGCGCGCAGTTGTTTGTACATTCATGATGCTCTTAAATATTTATATAATACCTAATAATAATTTATAAATTAATTATTTTAATAATTTATATATAAATTAGAAAACTAAATTAATTAATCTTCAAAATATACCATCCCGGCACATTCGATGTCTCACGAAGTCCTCGAAAATATATTTTGGTCGTTTGTTTATTTACACTATATTATTTCTAAAATATCAATTTATATTTAAGACTATTTTCTCAAATTATATTTATTTTTATTCACCAGTCATGACCTCAAGGAATTCTGAAACAGAAACAAACAACTTTTAACTCACTGACCAGACAAAGTCGCCTTAGTATCTTCTGTCTTACACGCGCTTCTTGCGTAGTTTGAAGTAGTAATTTGAAGGGGGGGGGGGGCAGCCCGGGGGTATTGTTAGTAATGTGGACTGCCAGCCCATCACGATGGGCTAACTGACCTGCCTTTTCATTCTCACCTGCCATCCCTCACTTGTGCCCCGCCAGTGAACACCGCTAGTATGAGCTGGATTGCCATTCCATTATCATCCATAAAAAAAACTGTTTGAAGGGCAAGACGACCAGTAAAATTATTGAAACGTGAATAAGGAGGCATAACAATTTTAGTTCTTAACTTAAATATCATTTTTTTTTATACAACTTAGAATGGCAAACAAGCTGACAGCCCACCTGATGGAAAGTGATAACCGTCGCCTATAGACATGAGCAGTACCATGGACATAACAGAGTATACTGTTTCGCCCATGATACCCCCCATGCGTTGCCATTCCTGAGGACTCAGGTGTTGTTCCTCTGTACCCAGTAAATTCACGCTATATCCCACCCTTCAAACCGAAACACAGCCATGCAAACACAACTGCTTTACGGTTGAAACACGTTTATTTTGTGATGGCAATCAAGCAGCTCATAACTATAGGCGGCAGTTATTATAAAGAAAAGATATGATTGTTTGTTATAGATAAACTCAAAAATCACTTGACCGATTGAAATAAATATTCCACCTATAGAAAGCTACATTGTCAGCGAATAATATAGGCTATACATTATTTACTAGAATTCTATCTACCCTTGAGAAGTCAGGACCGATCGCCAATATAAAATAAAATTGTTAAAATTTATTATTTATCAAATTATGCATACCATCGAAGTCAACAGTACCCGACCCATCAGAGTCAATTTCTTCAATCATAGTATCTAAATCCTCAGACGTGATAGTGTTGTCTAACTCTTTAAAGATCTCCTTCAGGACGTCTGTTGTAATGTACCCGTTGCCTGTAAAACAAGAATAATATATGTGATTAGCTTTTTAACCGCTACTTTGTACGCGGGATTTCACAAGTAGCAAAACAAGTGAAATGGACCATTTCTAGGTGGCATATCCAGATGAAAAATACACTAGATTTTAAGTTAGATCATCAAGTACACAACTATGTATCACATGCAATTTCGTGCAGTAGGTTTTACGTGATGCTGAAACAAACATACAGACAGACAGACAGACAAAATGTCTAAAAATTATTGTTAGTCTTAGTCTTTAGAGCACTCGTTTTTTTTTTTTTGAATGTTTATATATTAGTATAAAATTATTTTTAATTAAAATAAAAATCTTTGTTCTAACAGTAAAAATAAATAATTTCAAATGTATGTCGAAAGTTGAAAAAAAAATTGAGATACTAAAATATTACACGCAATTGTTAAATTAGAAAATAATTTATTTTAGACTAACGAAATTACTGTCATAATATGAATATGTTCTATAGCCAGCACCACCATCTACCACTATCTAAGGTTTACATTCACCAGATGGGGCCCTAACTATCTCATATATATTCCCATGCAAAATTCACCGGATGAGGTCATTCCTTTATCTAAAAAAGTTTAATCTTATAGTTTCATTTTTATTATATAATATATCACTAAATATACATCAACACTATTACAATTAACATTTTAGTTTTATTTCAAAATATCGTGTTAAAATTCTGACAATTTATTTGTTCATTTCTTGAATGTTCTTCGAGTTAATATTCTAATTCTTAAAATGATTAAGTACAATTTTTTTTTTTGCAAAATTATACAATAAATGTTATATTCTTCCTGTGCTCACGGCAACTTGAAGCATGGCTAGGCCGTGAGCCCGTGATATTGTGTTCGCTCTGCTTACCCTATTGTTACGTCACTGTCTATAGCATATAATTCTAAATTCCTTATTAATAAAAACGCCAAATCTTTTATAAACCTAGTTTACCTATCGAACTGTTTAGTCAATTTTTTTCACATTAGGAATATAAAGAGACAAAATAGCTGAAATGCGTTTATGAAAGAATTAATGTTTTTTATGAATATATAATATATTATATTTTTTAATGTACTTAAAAATTTTATACCTTCTTTGTCATATAACCTAAAAGCTTCTTTTAATTCTTGTACCATAGCTTCGTCGTCCACTTCTTCTGTCAAAAATTTGGAAGCCAAAGAACAAAACTCGCTAAACTCCAATTCACCAGATCCTAGAAAACAAAATAAAATTGAGTACTTTTAGAGAAAGGGGAATATAGAAATAATTATAGGAATATAAGCTTTTTTTTTTTAATTTCCTAATAAATTTATTACATTAACACCAGAATGAAATAGGTGTTTATTTTTAGATTAAAAAAATAATAGACAAAAAGATACACACAACAATTTTTAAAATAAATTTAAATTAGTATTTCCATCTATTTTAAGTTAATTAAAGATATTATTAGATAAATTATTTTCAATTATTCTTTAATTTATATTTATTAAAACTTAAAATAAAAATTTTAAAACTTTATCCATTACTATTATTATAATTCTTTTTTATTTATTAATTACTTTTGTTACAAATTAGCGATATTTCGTAACGTAATATAACATATAGTATTTTATATTAAAATAAATTATATTATTATTAAAATGTTATCAGTATGGTAGAAGTCATTGATAAATTCGCCAGTTGTCGATAAGCCTCAATAGCCGTGATCGTCTAGTGGTTAGGACCCTACGTTGTGGAAAAACGATAATTCCGTAGTAACCCAGGTTCGAATCCTGGTCACGGCAATTCTAAGTGCATTGTCACGGTGAGGCGATTCACTTTTTTTTATTTTTATTTTTTATTATTAAGATAATTTTTTTAAACATTATCGTTATTCTACCAAATAATTTACTATTACATGCCTAGTATAACAATACCGCTTTCAACTACAATCTCCAGTTATAACAAATAATAATTTACATCAAATTGTTATATTTAAATCACAGGCTAATTAATGTTAAATATGAATTAATTTTTATCACTAAGAATTCATCTGTAAAATAATGTCTAATCATATCAAATAAAATTCGCCGTTTCAATATTAACGCCATCTATATAATTGGCCACTATTCTGAAGAACTACTGCTAATTTAGATTAGCGCCATCTATTGACATAATAGTTGAACTGCAAACATGTAAAGACGCGATAATAACTTCACACTCCCCTAATTCTAGATGTCCTTCCGTATGCAATTATCACTTTCTTTTTAATCATTTTTCTTTTAATTAAAAATTTTAGTGTAAGTCCATTATATTAATTTTATAATTGGCTTTTAATAAATTATTATAGAATAATTAGAACAGTATGATATATTTGTACCACATCTATTACTTAAATTAGTCAACAGAGTTGATTTTAGGCACCATTTCTCTAAATTTATGTCTTAATCTAATATTTTAATTTAATAGTTTAGCGAAATTACTTTTTTATGGATCATCATATTAATTTTTATTTGATGTATTAGAAATTCAGTTCATATTAGCTGTAAGCACATAAAATATCCTAAGTTATAATATAATCTACATGTGTACCGATTTATTTTCAAATTCGTTCAGTAGTTTTTGCGTGTAATATTAACAAACATCCATTCATCCATCCATCGTTACAAATTTCTGCATTTATAATATTGATAGGGTTTGTACTTAAATAATTTCGCTGTGACATCAAATTGATAGGTATAAAGAAATCTCGCCACTGAATCGAAAAAATGTACCATTTCGTCTTTCACAAAAAGCTACTCTGTTTTTTTAATACTGTTCCAAATCCAATAATTTATGTTCCATTTGATAAAATTTTATAGATATTTAATATTGAACCGTGCATTCAACGTCATTAAGTTGAATTTCATATTTTTAATATTATTATTACAACAGAGCTGCGTGATAGAGCAGATTAGACACTTCCTTTTTTGTTCTTACCGGTAGTTTAAATAAATATATTAATAAAAACAACAAGCCTAATGACTTTCTTGGAATTACAGTCTTAATTTAAGGGTAAGGAAGTTCTCAACTCGGTTTAATTTTTTTATGTTTATTACCTCATAACTCCGTTAACTGTAAATCTATTTGGAAAATTCTGTTTTATTTGAAAGGCTATACTATACTTATATATTGGTATATAATTGGTAAGGGATATACTTATATATTGGTTTCATAAACATTTCATCAAATTCGGTTTAGATTAGAGTAGTTTAAATTTTAAATTAAATAACCAGTTGTTTTACAACCGAAGTCAGTTTTTTTTTTTTGTGGAATGCAATCTTACTTTTATAAATAAACTACGTATTATAAAATTATACGAATATTTAGTTCTGCTTTATTTATTATCGAATGACGCTATGTAAAATGAATGTCTAATGGTATTTATTACTTTTACTTTATCTTATAAGTGACGTATCATCATAGTAAAGTCTAATAATTTGTTTCTTTAAAGTAAATATTACTTATGTAACTTTTATGTAAATTATTCAAAAAGTACATAGCAGAGTATTTAGATACTCAGCCACGCTATTTACTAGCCGGCCGTGAACTTTTTATCAAATAAATTAACAGATCCGAGGAAATCATAAACATGGCTATCAAAAATATGCTAATATTCCTCTCATTCACAGGAATTCATAACTTTAAGAAAGAACACGAACGAGGGTAGGTAACGCGTACGTGACACCCGTAGTGTTGCAAGCGACCACAGCGCTACGGTAACTGTTTACCATCAGACGTGCCGTATTTTTGTTTGTTACACACGTGATCTAAAAAGACGTGTGTGCTATAGGTTGTCTCTAAAAAAAATACTAAATACCTGTGCTAAATTTACACTGTCCTATTTATTTTCCTATTTATAAAATTTATTATTATTTTAATTAATAATAATATTTTAAATACGAAATTCAACTTAATGACGTTAAATTCACGGTTCAATATTATATACTATTTTAGTTAAAAATATTTATTATATATAGAAAACACCTAGACCAATACACAGAGATATACACATGAATTAATGTTTGTATTGTACTGATAGAATCCGCAGCTATTTAAAAATAAGGCAGGATTTTAAAATTCTGGAATTGTTACTATTTCGCTAAGGTCACATACTTAAATCATACCCGGGCTTTTGGGAATTCCTTCACAGTCATATCCATTCGATTATGGAACGGTCTGTCATTTGAAATACGGAAATCTCCAAGTACAGGCATCTTTATGCGTCGACTCAGGGAGCATTACTTATTAATATGCTGGCTCTCATATATATATTAATTAATAATAATCAGCAGATTAAGTTATTACGAACTTACCATCAGAATCAACCTCAGTAATGATCTCGTTGAGAGTATCATCGTCGAGTTCATGTCCCAACATTTCCAAGATCGTTCCAATCATGTCTGTGCTTATAACTCCTTTCTTTTCGTGGTCGAACGCATCGAAGGCATTCTTCAGGACTGCATGAAAGATTATTAGAATTAAAATTCTGTTTCATTTAGGTGTGTTAATTTTATTTTTATATAATTAAATAACTAACTACTCAATTTTTTGAGGTTATGTTTGTCATATCCGTTAATTGTTTCCATTTCATTCAAAAGTTATATTTTTTTTTTTTTTAAATTCCCGATAATCAATTATAAAAAAAATATAATTTAAAACAACTGCATTTTTTTATGCCAGTACTTTAATACCAGTTGCAAAGGAATCTATTGATAAATATTTGTTGATAATTGTAAAAATCTCTAAATATCCAATCCAATCTAAGACAAGATTCTTGTATATTTTTTACTAATAGATTAAAAAGCCACCAATTTTATTCCTTTTAATTTCAGTTAATCAATATTATTATAGAAATAAAACTGTCTAGAAGTTTCTATTGCGCGTCAAATAGATACATTGATACTACCACATACTTAGATACATAATTAATAAAGTGTCAAACTATTTATAATTGTAGTGACTTTGACTTTTCATAATACGAAGAATGAATTATTTAGGGTAGATAAGTATTAATAAAAGTACTTACGTTGCAACTGACTCTTGTCAAGTTCCTCCTGTGCACATGTAAAACAGAAAAACTGAATTAGAAAACATATTAAACACACACAATACATCACGGAACGTAATAAAAAAAAAATTAAAAGTAAATTGAAAAATAAAAGTCCTACTACACTACACGAACTTGAAAATTACGCACCATTTTTCAATCCGATGTTATATCTCGCACTAATTTATGTGTATGTATTCAATCAAACAGACTGTATTCAGTTTTGGTCCAGATTTTGTCTATGTAGGCCGTTATATATCAGGTGCACAACATGTTCCGGCTACATAAAATATTTCAGGGGTGCTTAATCTAATTGATCATTTAATTTTATATTCATGTACTGTTTGCTTGATAATTCGATAGAGTACTTTTATCAAAGACAATACATAAAAGATGCAGACTTTACATATAATAAACAAAACTATATAAATCAAAATAAAATACTTTTTGACCGTTTTTATGTTAATAAAAATGATACAAAAAATAATAAGAAAATAAAAGTTAAGTAAAAATCATATCAGTCGCTACTTATGCACTGCTGAACAGAGACCTCCCCCATAAGAGGGGTTTGCCAGTAATTGCTACGGTTGGCAACCGCAATTAGCCTTTGCTGATATTTTAAGAGAGAAGCTACTGCTCATCCCTCAACTTTTAAATTCCCTTAGTCGCCTCTTAGGACGTCTTTGGGAAAGGTAACTGACACGAGGAGGTAACTGATTCTATGCCTGGACCACACGGCGAAAGGATTAAGTAAAAATGAAAATATGTAAATAGGATAATAACTCGTCTGCATGAAAACACTTTATTTTTAATCCCTTACGCTACCCTTGAAGTTACAGCTATGTAAAATACGTAAAATTAGTACCAGTATTAGTAATATTATAAAAATGAAAATTTTGTTTGTAATGGATAAATTACTCAACTGTTTTAAATATTCTTTCACCTATAGAAAAATTCATTATCAGCAAATAACTACTTTATTTGCTATACATTATTGTCGAAAATTCTATTTACTCGTACGAAGCCAGGCCGGAGCGATAGCTATCTATAAATAGATAAACAATATTACAAATAGTAAGGGAAAAAAGGTTAATAATACATAAATATATCGACTTCCAACACAGTAATAGACCCCAAATATTGCAGGAAAATTTATCAAAATCAATGTAGAATTGTACGACGAAGACGTAGCATATATATACATATAACATAGTCGTATATATACCTATATAACGAAGAGATACAATTGAGAGCCTCTTTCCGTGCCTCTTCTTTCTGAAGTATTGTAAATATATATACAGTCTTTGATCCCGGGTCACGGAGTACTCACAGATACTTAAATATATAACTATAGATACTTCATATCCAGGGAAATTAAAGAAATCCCTAACGTAAAGAAATTGCGAGTACAGCAGCTTTAAATAATTTATACAATTACCGACTATTTTTCCTCCTTAGGGGCATATAAAGGCCATAAAACGCCACTTGCTTATTTTATTGTACGTATAATTTACTTCATCTATGTTTATATATTTTATACTTAGATCATAATTACAGATCTTAATATTATTTATCGCTTTAGCTAGATAATGCATTAAGAATGTTTCAAATACGATCGAACAATTTTTTATGCACCGAGGTGGCAAACAAGCATACGGCTCACCTGATGGTAAGCGTTTAGTACTACCTAGTAGCCTACTTTAAAGAAATTGCAGACGGGCACGAGTTTTTTTCCTATTGATTATTAACTGTTCAAATGAGTAATCTATTTTCAGGATATAAAATAATCCGAAAGTGTATATATATTGACATAAAATATAAATGAATAAAATTACAATTTCTGTGAACTAAATCACAAGATTAATACCATTATTTACTATTCTCATCTTCGTGTTATAGTATATTTTATGTATGTGTTTGTTATTTATATATATTTATTTGTGTATGTACTCATATTTAAATTAATACTAGTAACGTATTCGAGTATTCTAACACTACCCTAAGGTTGACTGGGAGAGAAGGATTTAAGTATTAAGTCCGCCTTGTACATATAGCTATTTTGAAAAACTCTATTTAGAACGTTATTGCAATCAGATGTTATCCTTTTTTTTTAATTATGGTTGAATAAGTTAAAATATATGTATTCATATTAAGTTTTTATTTAGTCCAAATCACAGAATTTAAATAAACATAAATTTATGAACAATAGGACTTTTGGAATTGTGAAGTACCTTCTTCATTTTAAAAACCTAACAGTTACGGCTGGGGGGAAAGGGATTGTTAGTAATGGAGACTGAAAATCCCATTGCTAGCAATATACCCAACCAGGTCGACCTCCACGTGGTTCCCCCTGGAAACTATCATGGTTAATTCCTGTTGAATTCATCATGATGGACTAACTGGCCTGTTTTCATTCTCATCGATCACCCTTCACTGGTGCTCCGCCAGCGTATCCCGTTAGCGCAGGCGGGGTTACTATTCCATTTTCATCCACAAAAAAAAAACAGTTACGGCTGTACGCAATTACGATATCTACATGAAAACAAGATAAACCATTAGCAATTATTCTTTTTAAATAGCGCGTGAACAATAACAAGTCAAAATGAGCGTTTTAATTAATTGTCAATTGATTTATTATTATCATTAAGTATTTAAACTGTTGGTGACCGCTGCGCCTCTGCGTCGACTGATGAGTGGCATCTCAGATTCGTGACAGCCAATGCTATCGACATGGATGAAAATAGATGCTAATTATAAATCAAATGACACTTAAACGACTATAACGCGTTAATTACTGTTAATATGAATTACGTACCAAATTAGTTTAGTTTGGAATAGTATAAATTTTAATTAGAAAACATTATTTTATAATTGAATTTATTTGTATGCAAAATATGAATAGGCTACATACTCGTAGCTCGTAGGCCCAATAATTGATGGGAAAGAAAGCAGACATGGGTAATATTGGTATCGCCCCGAAATCTTTTTTTTTTTTTTTGATAGGTGAAAATGGAATGGTAACCTCGCCTGTACTAACGATATACGCTGGCGGGGCACCAGTGAAGGGTGCTCGATGAAAATGAAAACAGGCCAGTTAGTCCATCATGATGAAATCATCAAGAATTAACCTGATAGTTTCCAGGGGGAACCGCGTAGAGGTCGACCTGGTTAGGTATATTGCTAGCAATGCGATTCTTAGTCTCCATTACTATCAATCACTTTCCCCCCAATATATTGGATCTCTCTGTACGTTGATAGAAGAAAAGATTTATCATTTCAAAATTACCCATACCAGTCTAACATACATTTATTTATTTATTAAACTTCATTACGCCTAGAAAGTAAGTAGTAAGTAAAGTCTTAGCTTTAGGATCAATGAGCCGATTTCCTTTAGTCTGTTCACTGTATCCAATAAACAACATTTTACTAGCCTTAGCATTTCACTTTTTTTGCTTCTTCTTTTGGGACATGTACCATTCCCTCACATACAAAAATCTTCATATGGCTAATGTCAGACTTCTTAACACTCCACAACTCTTCAGGAGAAGAATATAATAAAACTCTTGTAGGGCATCGATTGGTGATGTAGAACTGCAGTTTAAGCAAACTTAACACCATATGGTGTATATGCCTATATTATTGTTTGTGTGCTGAAATTTTGGCTGTAATATTATTTCAAGTTAAATTAAATCCTTTTTTTTATATATATATTCCGTTTATTTATGTGTATTATTTTTATAAATGTTATTGTTCTGATGATCTCCTGGATCTGCGTATTGGAAAACTGTAAAACTCACCCAGTTGATCTAATAAATAAATTATATATCGATAGGACTCTTTATTTCGATATACTCGTATATTTATTATTATATACTTAATAATATATTTTGTATTTTTATTGTGGTTACAATAGCTGTAATAACAATACATAGATATTGCTATATATTATCTACCCCTAAAAGAAAGTTTTTGTAGTGGTGACCCCATATGGACATAAACACAATGTAGGGCAACTCCCAATGAAATAACGACCTCAAATGTAACTACTGCAGGGAGCCATTGGATGCGGGTGGCTCAGGACCGTTCCCTATAGCAGTTTATGGGGGAGTTCTACCTTCCATTAATAATTGAAACATCATGCAATGAACCAACGACTAAACGTATAATCAAATATGTAATTTATTGCGCTGAAATATTTAATGAAGGCCAAAGATAAAGCCATAGATGTAATGACTTTTTTTTTTTTTTTTATAGAACTTGATTACGAGTAAATTGCCATAAACAATTTATTTCCTTATTAAACATTTTATTGCACCAATATTACATAAATTGTTGATGGATTTTAAATAAGTATAGTATAGTACAAAAGTAATCTTATTGCTAGGCAATCTCAGTTAACAATCTCTTCAATTAATCGGGTATTCTGCATTTAATAGAATGGAACTCGTGAAACTGATCATAGTGCATTTTGTAATGGCCATGGTTCTATTCCTGTGTAACAGAAACGGTTAACTAACTTACTTTAATCAAAGACTTATTAAAAAAAAGAACAAACAAACAAACATATTTTCATGTTTATAATATAATATCCATGTGGAGTAAGTACTTTTGTACGCAAATTACACTAAAATTAATTCCACGCCAACAATATCGAGGGCATAGCTAGTTTATAAGGAAGCTAAACATTACATTAATCTTATTTTACTTTATAATCTAATAGAATAGAAAATTATATCTGTAGGTTAGTAAGTAGATCCATAATGAATATTAATGTCTAAGACCTCAGTTATGAAATTGCCAAAGTTTGTTGCCTAGAAGTTGTTTAACTAATTGTGTATACACAATAATGAAACACTTGACTTACACTAACTATTATTCATACTTTATTTTTAGTAGTTTTATATTTATGTGCTCATATATTGCACCAGAACAACTTTTGAATTAGAAAAACAGACAAAATAATTTAATTACAAAGCAAGAACTTTACATTAATCCAGTTAGGTATTTGTTTATATCTTAATGTAATACTATAGGAATAAATAATAATATCGTCCTTTCTAATATTATAAATAAAAAAGTGTCTTTGTTTAATACCTCTTAGCACCGTAACCTCTCAACCAATCCCCATAGAGAGAAACAAAGCGCTGTTGAAAGAGTACTTTTATTTAATTCCATTATTTTATTTTAGAATTCCGGTTACATTCAACCCTCATCGTCATTGAATTCTGTGTGAATTCTAAATTGTTAATAGGTTGAAAAATCTACCCTCCGACAACTCGAT